CATTTTGCTTGTAACAATAGAATATTATGAATAATGAGATAAACGACACGAAACAAATATTCTTTTTATTTTTCTAAATGATTACTATATCTTCGAGTTATAGAGAGATAAAGAAGGAATAGTTCTAGAAGAGACCAGAACCATAGTCCATTTCTTCGTCTGCTTCGATTTGTGCTTGTATTCGTTGTTGATCTTTACGCTGTCGGATAGCTTCGGATCGTTGAACATGATTTTCAGCTTTTTCTATTCGTTTCCAATCTTTTTCAAGAAGAGCGTCCAATAAATTTTCCGTGATTGGTATTCCAGCTTGATGAAAAAACTTAACAAGTCCAGATCGGCCACGATTAAAGAAAATTGAAGAAATTGCAGCTGCACCTCGTACAGATCGGTAACCATGATATTTGGCCTTTGACAAAATTGACCAAACTACAGAATTGATAGATTCATTAGCATTTTGTGTCATGCCTCTAAGGCAACGACGTAGTAACGATGGATCAGTCAGTGATTCAATCATAGGTGTAAGAATGTCGAGGAAAACCTGTGAAGTGTTATTGAACTTTAAAATCATGCATCACAAAAGTATACTTTCATTTACCGCGTCCAATCGTTTCGTATTTTTTACATGATCTGTTCTTTGTGACGGCGAAACATGTTTGTCTCTTTGATAAGAACACCAAGAATCAAAGCCCGTCGGACAACATGCATGTTGAAGCTCACGATCAGACTGTTTTATATTATGTAGAAAAGCTGCCCGACAATATCGTTGCATTGTTAAAACTGCTTGGTCTTGATCAAGATCTACAAAAAAATGTGATTTTGTAATTAAATCTAAAAGAACAACTGCTGTACTTTTAACTATTGCACTGGATTGTCGAATTGCAATGCCATAACTGTCAGCTAACTTGTGTTCCATCAATTTGGTCATACGACCAACTCCACCACCATACATCTTACCATCAGCTAATCGTCGTCGTCGTCGTCGTTGTCGTCGTCGTGTAACTACTCTTCTAGTCGATGCCGCCAACAATGAAATATTAGTATCATCTTCACTTGGCGATTGTTGATTTGAATCCGACGACTCGTCATTTGTTACTTCACTATCTTTTGCTGTACCAATTACTGATGCCAAATTCTCTTCAATTGGTTTCTCAAATCCACTGTGCCGATTTTTTAAAGTTTTCAGATGAGTAGAAACTCGCTTTTTCACGTGATTGATACAGTCCTCCTTAATAACCACATTGGCTTCATATTGTTCAGGAGAAAGCTGTGATAAATTACTCTCATTAGCATTTTCATCTATAAAATCAGAATAAAGATCATTATTAAGAGTATTTGATAGAGTAAAACCTTTGAGTAATTTCTTGATGTAAGTGAGTTTGACTGATTCATAAGCACTTGAATCGCCGTCACTTATCATATGTTTGTAACGTAATCCTAAAATATAGTTCTAAGTAATATATCTACAGAATAAATAGTATGATTGCTAAAGTCAATATTTGCATTGCAGTATGTTTATTTTGTTAGAAAAATATCTTTTAAATTAAAATACTGAAATAGATGTTGAGTTTTTTCTAATGTATACAATACTATGGATAATAAAAAATAAAAGGAGTCGACTACCCTACCTTTCTCGAGAGATCTCTCGAAAATTTTTCTTGCTCCTTCCTTTTCCATGCCACCAGAAGTGCCATCCCATGTCTTTGAACATGTTGATTGATGGGTTGTATACTAAAAAGAATATTTATCTTCTTGAATAAAAAAAACCTTCATCACTCACCCATCTTTCAAATTGAATTGTTGTTAATGTTCGCTTTTTTCCTTCACATAACTCACATCGTTTACTCACTGTTTCAAAATCCAAACAATATCCGGATTCAGCGTCAATGAGAAAAACTATTCCATATAGAGATTGATGTCCTCTTTTCTTCCAAGTACCATCAAGAGAGATAGTTAAGTCCATAACAACGTTTAGTTCGCATTGATTAGCACGACGGACATCATCGATTAAACATAAGAAGTCCTGATGAGCAAAATAAAATAATTGATCATACCTAAACGAGTCAACTATAGATTCACTTTAGAATATTAACTAACTCACAAATTGTGAACTTGTTTATAGAAGTTGTCTCTATGTGGCGTACTTAATCCTAGTAATGATAATAAAAAATGAGTGGCATCGTAACCAATGCCACTAATAGCACCGGCACTGTAAAGACAGTGGTTTGGTTCTTGTATTCCATTTGATCTAGTTGGAAAGTTTGTCAAGTTGGTAGTATGATCACAGATCGAACACTTTAAAGCATTTTTATGAAATAAACCGAAATTCATTTTAGTATCAATAATTAGTTCGAGTCGACCACCTTGACAGACATGAGCAGATTCAATACATTCTTTGAGGTGGCTCATATCAAATATTTGACTTGATCGATTATTCGTCTCATAATTCGAAGCACTATGAATTACAGATATGTCATCGCATTAATTACACATGGTAAAGCTTACCTTTCAACGGATAATTTTATCTTCTGAACACTTCTTGAGGACTTGGAGCTTCCACTAACAATTTCTTTTACAATATCAGCAGTAACCCGAGGTTTCCGATAAACATCTCTTGATATTATTGAATTCGATTCTGATGAAATTGATGAAGACCGAAGAATTCGACTAGATGGACGGATTGGTGAATCCATCTCAAAATTTTCATCGAAAAAACTATCATCCGATGACATTCTTATTAAAAAAATCGTTAACAACGATCAAGAACCATTACTTAACGAATTTCGAGCCAAGTCGGTTACTGAATCGATTGGCTAACACCTACAGTTGAATGACTGCAGGAAAATGCTTCTAAAATTGTTAGTCAACTCAAAAACACTTCAAATCTCTTCCCAACTACTCATAACATTTTTTAGAACACAGTCAAAACAATTATCATAGATGACGCCAGTTACAGATCGTCTTATTTTTTGCAACATTTATCATAGTTCAATTGGAAAAGCGATAGTTGTTTGCATAAAAATAATGAAAATATCGAAAAAGGGTATTTTTTCTGAATTTAGCTTTTTACATGATTACAATGAAAGACGTATACTGCTTCTAAAAATTGAAACCGAGAAAAATGAACAATAGCAAAGTTGTAACGCTTAAAATTCTCTATCGAATGGTATACAGGACATTGTTTTTTCAGTATCGTCATAATGATGAAAACATCATTGAAAGCGGCTGAAGTGAAAAAAAACGCTATCGGAATCATAGTATTCACTGAGACATAGTATACACAAATCTCTTCGTTCGAGTTCATTTTAATTTCATCTGATAGAGGGAAGAATTCCCTATCGATTGATATATAAACAATTATGTATCGCTTTTACTTTATGTTCGTGGCGAGTTCGAAAGTAAAAGGACCCTAGACCCAATTTTGGACCAAAATTTCGACCTTGATGCAACTATGGCTCGGCCTAGGGAAGTCAGATGAGTGAAAAATTTGGAGCATATATGTAAAAAATTATGCTCTATCGAATGAGACTGAAAAGAAAAAAAAATAACATCCACGACCCCCCCCTTAATATTCAAATAATATCTATATATGATTTTAAATTTTCAAGAAGTTATTTTTCTTTGAGCTTATTTGTATACTATAAGAATTTGTCATAGTAAAAAAACATAAAATAAGATAACGTAGTATTGTATTAAAATTGTTTTTTAATTCATGCAGATTTGATCGCTGAACTCCGTTGTCGTGTTAGATTCAAGTAGGGAGCGTGATTGAACCAGAAAAAAATTATAAAAGTTACGAAATCATAGAAAAAAAAGAAAAATTTGACTAAAAATTTTGCCAGTAATCGTCAATGCGTACAGTTTAGAAGCTTTGCCACCATTTTAAAAAGTTTACAATTAGTGCATTTTGTAGATCTTTTCTTTGTGCAATTTCTGACAAAGTTTGACGTCTGGTCACATCTTCTACAGATGATACGGATCGATACACTAAAACCTATCATTTGTCACATATGATGTGCTCAAAATAAAAAATCGTGTTTTTCACTATCAAATATGAATCAATCAGAGATGTAAAATATATGAATTTGTAGTCCGTAAAAATCTCTACAAACTGCATAGATTTAATATCTATTCATAAACTTCTTTAACTTAGGATAGGGTCCATTCGGATGAGTCACTAGTCGCAATTTTGAGTAATACCCTATCAACACTAAATTCCCTACAGTTAAGCCAAAACTTCACAAAAACACAACTTCCTGTATACCATTCGATGCGCCTTTCACCGCTCTACAAAATGACATTAAGAGTTTGTCAATTCAAATGTGGTCACCAAATCCGACAGGGTCCTTTGCATATATTAGAATGAAACTTTTGTACGGCACCGTAAACGGGACTGAATTTTCATGGTTTACGGCTGTTTGTGCTCTGTAGTCTCATGATCATACGGTTCGTATTACTGCGCCAAATATTACGGCAAATTTTCGGCCGTAAAATAGTCGTAAAGTAACGGTAAATGACAGTATACGAACCGTGCTGTTAGACCTGGGTATACAAGGAATTTAATTTTTAATTTTTACTGTTTAGTAACTATCTCTACTGACGTTAAACTAAGATAAAAAATATACGTATTTGATGACAGATTTCATTTGTCGAATAAAATATTGTATTCATAGAAACTATGAATTTATTTATGTTACTCGATACACTAAAATGCGAAAAGCATAGTTATATGTATTTGTATGTCAACTGATAAATAGATAAAAACAATTTTTTATACTGCCTTTATTCTATGAAGTCTATTTTGTAGAAAATATCTCTATACAGATTTGTTGAAGTGTTGCAATGTTGTTTTTCTTCTAATAGTAATTTATATGCTACAAATTAGTGTTTTATCTAAGGTTAAATTCGTCTTGATGTCGAATCAGTTAAACGTTTTTATTTTAATCGAAGTAATCATATGCTTTTTTCTATGCAAATTATGATTATAATATTTATTAATAAATACTTTGCCAAATATGATATAAAGGCTCGTTTCTTATCAGTATATGGTAGATGCAAAATACAACACAACAAAAAAGAAAATAAAGAACCAGCAAAATATTATAAATTACAAGTTACTAACAACAGCGTGCGACGAGACAGCTAATAATAATATCAACATTATATTCTACATAATGACTACACCAACTTTTCATGCTAAATCGACTGCGCTTGAAGTTGTGAAAGGTCTGAACGTAAATCTCGATGGAAAGCTTGTACTCATTACTGGTGGTACATCGGGTAGATAAACTCGATTATATTGTACTTACTAGGAATCTTTCTATCATTTAAGGTATAGGAATAGAAACAGCTCGTGCATTAGCCACAGTAAATGCACATGTAATTATAACAGCACGAGATATGAATAAAGGTGCAGAAATTGTAGAAGATCTAAAAAAATCAACTAAAAATGAAAACATCGACGTGATGGAACTCGATCTAAATTTGTTTCAATCAGTTCGAGATTTTGTTGAACGATTTCGAACGCGTAATACACCAATCAATATTCTTATTTGTCAGTAGAACATTCAATTATTGATCTAATATATTTCTATCGTTATATTAATTCAAGGTAATGCTGGTGTTATGGCATGTCCATATGGAAAAACAGTTGATGGTTTTGAAACCCACTTTGGTGTTAACCATTTAGGTCATTTTCTTCTTACAACAAGTCTTGTGCCCGAACTCAAAACAGGTAAACCATCGCGTGTTGTTGTTGTTAGTTCGCTAGCAAATAAACGTGGTGGTATTAATTGGGATGATATTAACTGGGAAAAAAAATATGATAAATGGCTTGCCTATGCGCAGAGTAAAACAGCAAATATTCTCTTTGCTAAACAATTCAATAAATTATATTCATCAGAAGGTGTTCAAGCATATGCTTTACATCCAGGTGGTATTATGACAAATTTAGTTAAGCATTTACCCATTGAAGAACAACAAGCGATGGGATGGTTTAAAGAAGATGGTACTCTGGTCGATAGATTTAAAAATGTTGAACAAGGAGCATCGACAAGTGTCTATGCTGCTTTAGCGCCGGAACTTGATAATCATGGTGGAGAATATCTGGAAAACTGTGCAATAAGTCAAGGAGTAAATCCAGATATGACAACATTCTGGGGTATGGGAATACACGCAGTTGATATGGAATCAGCCGAACGTTTGTGGAAACTGAGTGAACAATTAGTAAAAGTTGAATAAAAATTGTTTAAATATTAATTTTCTTCATGATCATGCTAAAAATAAAAGAACCTGATTCAAATAGATTTTTGAAGTTTTCCGCATTAAAATAAATCAAGTCAAAATAGATAACGACAAACAAAATGGCAATCGTCATATATCTAGAGCAAGAAGAAAAAACTAGAAAAATGTAGGAAGAAGCATAAAATGGTAAAGAACCTATCAACATACTATGCAATAGTGGCAAATCTATATGTACATTTCTCATATTTCCAGAAGAAAATCTGTACTATGAGTAATTCTCTTTCGAAAAACGGCAACATCTCCATAAATCTCCAAATGGAGAAATGTTTTCATTTTTTTATTCGTGCTTAGATTAGGATGCATCCGAGTGATGCTTCTCAGAATGATAAAGAAACACAGTTTTGTATATTTCTTATTCTTCTTTCATATTATACATGTGACAAAAAAACACAATCTGTTGTTCAAATAGTCTTAATTGCACTATTGATTCGGACTGATCTTTTAATAAAACGAAAACTAACACAATTAGAAATATATTGAAAGAACAATTCATGTTTTTTTTCTTTCAATAAAAAAAACTGTTTATATCATCAGGTAATCTTTTGAGAAAACATACATTCAGTATAGTCAAACTTAATAAAGTATCCCTGATCATCAATTTGAAGCAATTTTCATTAATATATCTCTACGACAATAGATATGAACTGAAACGGCAATAGTTTACTATATCTCACAAGTGCAACTGAATTCATAGTGATAGTGATAATAACTACATTTCAATCAAAATATATCAAAATTGTGCTGATTGTTAATTTATGATAGGTAAAGAAAAGATAATTATATTAATATGCTTTATCTGAAAGATGAGATCAATAATGTCTTTAGTTTTATTTTGTGTTCAACCGTGATACGCCGACACTAATTCAACTAAATGATGATAAGAAAAGGTAGAGACATAATTCAAACAACTGTTTGTTTCTAATGTGTATCGTATTTGATGTTTCTTTCATTCTGCGTTCGATGAGAAACTGTACTCACGAAGAAAAACGAATTGAATAAAGTATCTGATGTTCAATTCATATGATGTTTTTTTTCTTCTCGTTCCTTTCATTGTCAAGGTCACATTTCTTTCGTTTGCCTATTTAACGCGTTCAGGTTGTCTTTTTTTCATTGCAATCATTCGTTCTTCTCTTCTACATGTATTACAAATAGAAAGGTCACCCACGCTATAATATCACTGAATAACAAGTTATTGCTTCTTCTATTATATTCTCTTTTTTTCCTTCTCCTTCTCTTCGAGAACAAGAAGAAAACATTGAACACCAGCATAAACGTGCATTTGTCGTCATTCGTTTTTCGCCTGTTTTTCCTTCTCATTTCTCTCTACTATTTCTTGCACTTCACATATATCCAGCTCGTTTTTTCTTCTCATGCAATTTCTTAGTCATATGTTCGACATTGTCTGTGTAATAAAATAGCCAGAACAACCAACATGTCGCACAAATCCTGCCGAGCTAAAGAAAAAGAAAGTATACATAAAAAAATGTTTGGGCACTATGATTAGAGAGTATATATATATAACTATATGTGTGTATTCATTCATCTGGTGCCGTCGGTACTTCTGCAACTAATATAATTATTTCTTTTTTCCTTCTCGTTGATGTTCTACTTTATACGAAGTAAAATGAACTTTCTTTTAAAACTCGACAAATAATATTAAATTTACCAATTGATTTTAGATTTACCGATATTTTCAAAATCAATATAGAATAGACAATGTCTTCGGCAGTGGATCCATTATTTGGGCTTATTCAAATTTCTTCATCAATTAAAATCAAACGATCTGACGGTCGTATACATTTAGCTAAAGTAGTGCAACTATCATCTGAATCGAAATCTGTGGGTGTTGAATGGAACGAACATGGAGAGGTTAAAGGAAAAGAAATTTTACTTGATCTTGTATTTGAGCTTAATAATGAATTACGACCCAATACAACATTTAAACAACCAACATCAGTAATTAATCAACAAATTCGGCCAACAGCAGCTATTCCTATGCCTTCTAATGGTTTATCGTCAAGTCGACTCACGTTAGATATTGATACATTAGAACGTGAATATAATTCACGACCGCCACCAACACTTCCACCACAATTATTACAAAGGATGCAGCAACATCCTGTATCTATTCAAACAACTTCAACGCCGCTTCCCCCTCTTTCATTTAACGGGTATATTAATTTTATAAGTGCCATGATTGTTTTACTTTTGAAGTTTTTCTTTTTCTTTTAACATTCAGTAGTGTTTCAGCTACTACAGCGCATCAAAAAACAAGCTATGCACCATCTGGAACAAATAATACTGGTGCTGTTCGTTCAATTCGTCGCCCGACTGCTCAGACTAATTCTTCATCCTCAAAAACAGCATCATCTCCTGTCCCACCTCCAACACCTATAGTTGAACAACAAATTCAACCACAATTACAGATTCCACTTCCAGCAAATAATAAAATTGAACGTCGCCTTTCTCGTCTTCATGTTGTACAACAATCATCTTCAATAAGTACACATAATACAGTTGTTTCAGTCGTACCTGAACCAACATCATTTATTGGTTTACATGGCCCATTTGGTCAAATGATTCTTGATTATCGTTCAACATTAACTTATTCTCCAATGACTAATTCAAATCTACATCATTATGAATTCAATCAAAAAGATTTACGTATTTGCGTAGCTGTTCGAAAACGCCCATTGAATAAACGTGAATTAGCTAAAAAAGATAATGATGTTATTACAATCCCAAATCGAGATCATTGTCTTGTTCATGTGCCTAAATCAAAAGTTGATTTAACTAAATATCTTGATAATCAAATGTTCAAGTAAGAAATTTTAATTTGAAGAATTTTTAATTAAAAACCATTAGAAATCTTTTAGATTCGATTATACATTTGACGAAAAAGCTTCCACAGAACTTGTTTATCATTATACAGCGGCTCCACTCATCGATACAATTTTTAGTGGTGGTAATGCTACTGTTTTTGCTTATGGTCAAACTGGATCTGGTTTGTAAATAATCTGCTTTAATTTTAAAAATTTTTTTGTTATCGCAATTTAGGTAAAACATTTACAATGGGTGGTGATCTATCATCAGCAAAGACCGACTATTCACATGGTGTCTATGCACAAACTGCACGTGATATATTTCATCGTTTATCACAACCACAATATCGTTCATCAATTGAAATATTTGTAACATTTTATGAAATATATTGTGGCAAAGTTTTTGATTTACTCAATAATAAAAAACGTTTACGTGTATTAGAAGATCAGAAGGGTCTTGTTCAAGTATGTGATCGAAAAGAACAACAAGTTAAATCTGTTCAAGATGTGTTAAATATTATTCAAAGTGAGACTTTATTTCTTTTGAAACATTCTACTAATGAATTGTTCGAAAGTTTTGATCCGCTTGAAAAATCATTCGGACCATTGAAAACCAATAGATTATAACCAGAAATTTGTATTCTTTTCAAATATGAGCTCTGACTACTCATCATTGAACATCCATCGACAAGACTGTAATAGTTCTCTCATCATAGTTCTCATTTGAAAAATCTAGTGTTTACAAAATCCAATTTAAATTGTACTTCAAAAAATCATTCAATACAGTTTTATGATAATTAATTTATTAATATAATTTAGACGGTATGAGTATTCGAACATCTGGTACAACAGCTGCAAATTCAAACTCTTCTCGATCACATGCCGTGCTACAAATCATATTAAAATCATCAACACCTATTTCCATTCATTCAAATGTATCTTCATCATCAACTCGCTATAACAATAATAATAATAATAATAACCATAATAATCCAGCTGTACCACGTCGTATAATGAAAGAGATTGGTAAAATGTCTTTGATTGATTTAGCCGGTTCAGAACGTGGAAAAGATACAGCAAGCGGAGATCGTCTTCAACGTATGGAAGGTTCAGAAATCAACAAATCTCTATTGGCACTTAAAGAATGTATTCGTGCATTGGGCCGTGGTGATGGCAGTCATGTGCCATTTCGTGGTTCAACATTAACAAAGGTATTACGAGATTCATTTATTGGTGAGAAATCAAAAGTTTGTATGATTGCCATGGTTTCACCAACACATTCTGATGTGGAAAATACGATGAATACATTACGTTATGCTGATCGAGTCAAAGAATTACGAGCTGGAGATAGAGATGGAATTATATCAAATGAAGATGATGATATTAAAATGGATGGAATATCAAAAGGTTCGATCTATTATATTCATAAATATGTTAATCATGATTGATTTTTTTTCCTTTTAGCTTTACCGATTGATGAAGATAAAGAAAATCAACATCGTCACCGTCACCGCCACCATCAACATTATCCGCATCACCGTGATGGGTCTGCATCGTCAACTGAAAGCACAAGTGCATCATCAAATTACGATGATGATGATGATAATGAACAAGATGAAGCATTAGCTTCATATGCAGCACAAGTTGAACACTTACAAGAATATGAAGAAGCTTTATTTGATTGTTGTCAAGATGTGTTAACAAATAAAGAAGCAATACTTACAAAACAATTACGTGCAATTGTTAAACAAGCACAAGATACAGTCGATTATGATCAAGAAAAATTTGTTAATGATATGCGTGCAAATTTACTTCAACGTCAACAAATACTAACTGAATTACAAGCACGTTTACAAGCATTTGCTGATTGTCTTCAACAAGAAGAACAAGTCGCTGCAGCGCAAAGGATTAAAAAACAACAACCGAGTGGCATTGCTCATTAAACAACAAATTAATAAACTTTTTTTTTCTTCTTCGTTTAATTATCTGATTTATGACTTTTCATTGGGTGTGTTTGTCTTATATAATATGAATGATGACTAATATAAATATATAATTTGAGCAGAAGCAGTGAGTAACAAGAAAAATTAACATGAATCGACAATCACTGCTTCTATATTTTATCTCCAACAAACTCACGAATAAAATTTTTCTCTAGTCGATTTATATTCGTAGGATGTTGTTATTTGTATTTTATTATGATAGATTTAAGTGTAACTTACAGTAAAAGATAGTTTATTTAATATTGACGGTTTATAACATTGTTACACATTTGTGATTTCTCTTACTGAAGTTTAACTCAATAAGATTTAAAGTCAAATTGTAGATACTTGAAAAACTTTACTCGAACTACCAGATACTAAGAGAGGCTCACAGATTTCAATTGTAAATAGCATTGTAGAATTTTTTTTTGTTAGAAATTCAGTTAAGAATATTTTATATCATCCAAGTAAAACGATTCAATTCTTTTAACGACAATTTGAAAAATACTTTGGACATCGTTGAAGTTTATTGAATGATTCTAAAACTAAAATCAATCTGTTTCATAAAGATCGGTAAAAATAAAAAGGAATACATTCAACGGAAAATTTCATCGATTATAACATGTTACTGTTTATTTCTAACAGACTTGTACACCATTGATCTATTGTTGCTGATGAAATCTTTCTTGTATTGGTATATTATATCGAAAGTCATCAGCATATCTTTTGATTGCACGTTGATGAGATTGTGTAATATTTGTTGAGTGTTGATTATGTGAATGAATCATTGTGGAAGTTGAATGATGTTGAAGAGTGTCAAATTTAGCTCTTGGTAAAGAAATTCTCGGAGGAATATTTGATGCATATTGATCATCAATACTATCTTTCGATGGATTTAAAAAAGTAGCGGAATGTGCCCATGAATCATAATATGAAAGCGAAGAAGCTTCAGAATTGTAACGATCTAACATTCTCTAAAATATACAAAAAAAGATAGAGAAAAGGTTTAGTTTCATATGGATTTATTACTTGACGATCCATTTGTTCTGATTGAGCTTTGTTTACGCGACGAAAATGAAAGACAGTCACGAATATTGCACATAACTTTAAAAAATGTAGAGTTTAGTATAATTTTCATTAGATTCTAATATTTTTTGAACTAACCGAGACAATAAGACGAATAATCATAACAAAATAAAGAATTTTAATTTGTGTTATGGATCGATAATTCTAAATAGTTCAAAGAAAAATAATATTTTGTAACAAAACAGTTAGCTACTGATATGATCATCAAACCTGTTGCTGATGTTCTCGAAGAGAAAGTAAAGTCACAATACCATCAGCAAGTAACATGAATATCATTATAAATGACCAAACTAGTAGCAACCATGGCTTTCCCTTCAAAAAAAAGTAGTAAAATTCATCGAATAAATCTATTAAGATATTACTAATTGAATGCCACAGAGAAGGATGGTAATAAGAATAACAATAGCAAAATAGATCAATATTGATATCGAATCCAAAAAAATCATCATTGAAGAAGATACTAGAAGCCATACAGTTGTATCTACAACAAACCAAATGTATTCAGAAATATAATTCATAGGATTTATTAACATTTAGTAATACATACACTTTGTATCATCATATGATTGCATCGAAATCATTGTTGTTACATCAATTAAGGTATATAATCCACTACTGAGATAAACAATCTAGATAAGTTTAAAAAAAAATCTTCTGTATTTATAATATTAAATTTTCTTACAATAATTAATAATGCAGTACAAATAGATAAAGTAGACCATTTTATTTTATTACACAGTACATAATGATACGAGCTAGGATAACAAGAACATGCTGAAGGATCAACACCAGATGTCATCATAAAAGAATAATAAAAATGAAACGAAACGAAATTAAGAGAATGTGACTATTTACTTTTTCAGAATGTTTTCCGTTCGTTCGTACATATTTTCATAGCACATGGTAATTCAAATTCGATCGAGAAAATAAAAACAAGAGAATGATAATCAAGAATGGAATAAATAGAGATAAGTAACAATTGGACCAATGGGTTTTTGTGCATGTTAATTTTCCCTTCCTATCATATACAAAATAATGGAAACCTATTGTTGCAAAGTAGATATGGATATCTCGAATGAATACAAGACAAATCATGCCTTCATCCCATCTTGGAAAATTTTTGATTTTTCCGAAGAAAATTTTAAAATTTCATCGATTCTCAACAAAGTCGTTTGGCTATTGCTCCAAATTCAGACAATTTTAGTGACACCGAAACACACCCGATGGTAGATCTTTGAAGATTCGTTTAAAATACTTATTTTGAAACTTTACAATATTAAGCATACAGACGAATAATTTCTATAAATATATTGTGAATAGATAGGAGTACGACTAGACGATATGAATAAAATCTTCATTGTAAGATGCAGAAAAATCTATAGCTCTGCAGATAAATTGTCATTTGGACTATTTTGATATAGTTCAGTATGATCGAATTGACTTTACAAAGATTGAATATTTTTTATTCTATAATATCAAAATCAAATCATTAAGTTTTCGATGATAATACAAGTTATGACTGAGACTATTGCAATCAATCTAGAGAATGTTAGAGTGTAATTGAGTTGTGCTGATATATCGTCATAATTGATCGATCTTAATAAAACCACACCCACAACCAACACATTTTTTTTTAATGATTTAGTTGTTAGTACTTTTTGAAAATGATAAATTTACGAAGAAAAAACACTAAAATAATATATATTGATGATAAACCATATCAGTAAGAAAATTCACTGCGACTTATAACAACAGTAATGTTTTATCTAAATCAATGCTATCAACAGCTGATCGAGAGTCAAGCATACATAAAGATATTCATTAATTACGAACTCTGGCTTCAACTCTATAATGGGTATTCCTTAAAGAAAAACAAATCATCATGATGAAACAGATAGTCAATAGTTCTCAAAAGTATCAAGAAAGGAAAATCATATGCAGTAGTTTCTAGATGTGTTACAAGTATTTTTCTGGTCTGTAATGATATCAACCCATGATATTGCATGCAACTGTTAGTCTGTGGTGCGATTGGCTATATGCTTATAGGTGATTGTAGTTAATTCGATAGATTTGAAAATGATTCTTTTAAGATCGAAAATATTCGTTCTGATTAAGATTTCGAAAAGTTAAATTAAACAAAAAACATGCTATATTTTGTTTTCTTACCAGTGAGTCTCGTCGTAAACATTTCTAAAGAATTTCTATGAGAGCTCGGCCTGTCCAAGCGTGACGGAATCACGTTTTTTCATTTTGTTTTTTCAATATATCAACGAAATGAAGGCAGATAAGGTTGAAATATTAATAGATTATGTAAGTCAGTTTCCTCTACATGTGCTGAAAGTTTCATGAAATTTCAAGTTTTCATGCCTGTTTTATGATTGAAATATGGTGCGCGACGGAATCACAAAAAATGGACTTTGACTTCGACTGTTGTTCAAAGATTGAAAAACCTTAGCTCAACTAAACATGTAATGAAAAAACTTTCTCTAGAAGAGTTATAGGCCAGATGACGAGCTAGCTGTACAAAAAAAGAAAATTTGGAAAAAACGTAATACTAATTTTTTAGACGGAAAAATCGTTGTGACGGAATCACATTTTTCGTGACGGAATCACATTTAAGAAATGATGATGTTTATTTCTTGAGAAATTTAACAATAGTTCCTCAGAAGGTAGATCTAGCAAAGTTAGGAAGAAACTGAAAATTTCAGCTCAAACGGATAAATCGTTATGGAGTTTTAGTTGTTGCAATATACGTACTCAGTTTTATTTGAAATAGCGCGCATAGCAATAAGTTTCAGTAAATTTTAATTTTCTCAAGAACAATAATAGCTATGATCGAGATATTTTTACCATAGGTACTGCCAACCACGGGCTATTGTTTCCTGATAGTGAGAGTGCCTTGCCGATAGTATTTTTTATTGGCACCCAATACAATTTTCAGAAGGCAGGTCCATGTTGAATACGACAAAAAATTTGTCGATCAGATAGTTTCAATATCAGCAAACGATTGCCCGTGGTTGACAGTATCTATGGTAAAAAGATCTCTATCATGACTCTTATTGTTCTTGATAAACTTAAAATTTATTAAAATAATTCCAAATATAGGTGAAGAAATGCATTGCGACGAGTATAACTCCATAGTAACTTATCCATTTCAGCTGAAATTTTCAGTTTCTTCTTAACTTTGCTAGATCTACCAAACCGGTGAGATCGGCAGAAAATATTCTGCTAAAACTGATATTGGTCTGTGTAAAATACGTCCTAAATGACTTCTTCAATGCACAAGATAGAAACAACTGGAAATCATCATAAAGAAACTACTATATTAACTGTTCGTGACTCTACAATCGTTTTTACGCATACTAGCGTCTCTTTGGGAACATAATTTCAGAGAAAAATGATGTTTCCAAATTTTATGAGCAAAACCTAATCATTTCATGGTGATTTCGTCACGTCGTTTGTGGCCCGTTAATGTGTTTATAAAAATTACTAATCAGACCATAGGATACAGCATAAAAAACTGTATTTAGAGCACCGCTTGTTTAGAAAAAAATAATCTTACTCTTGGCTAAAAATGAATTATAGGGAAGTTTCGTGACGGAATCACGTTCATCAATGTATTACATTTACAAAACCTAATAAATTGTTAGAGCAACAGTGAAACACAGTGCTCTTCTCATAATCTCATAGACTATTGAAACTGTGTTTAACTCATGTGAAAGGTTTTGGAAAAGGCTTATTATTCTGTACGAAAAATCTAAAAACTAGGATCAATAATAAACTTGACTTTTGTCACCTATGAGACACAGCTCCTTCGTACCATCTATTTTCCCAAGAAAACCAATAACTATGTAAATAAAAAATGCACTCATGTATGTTATCGACTATGATCCACATGATGGTCATATTGGTTTTACTTATTTGAGTAGGTCAACTTCGATCACGAAGGTGTACCATTACGTGGACAGGCCGAGCTAGTACTTGAAATTGTGTAATGAACTTACTTGACAGTTATCGTTACTCATTCATTCATCAACATACAGTCTTTAATATTCTCTTTTACACCGCTACTTTTAAATCAAAGAATATTTCGTATCTATAATATTATCGTAGGTGAATTTTTCACTAAAATTGAGCCGCAATCCAAGATCAATATTAAATATGAATAGATTCTATCAACAAAATATTTATTATAGCATACTATCTTACATTTATAAGTTAACTATTTCGCACTCGAAGACACATGTCTTCTTTTTTTTTGTATAGCTTTAGAGAACATGTTGTACAAACAAAAAGATGAGAGACAATTCTAGCGTTCTCTATAGCCAGATGCGGAATTCAGTGAAATGATTCCATGTAATACTCGTACGATTTGAATCACGAAGTTTATCGATATTTCTCAGAAAATTTTCCATGTATTGCTTTTGACTGCGTAATAGTTCAATACCTCGAACGCCAAGATGTCGATAATTACTGCCTTTGTTGATAATAAATTCAGTGAGTTGTTCAAAATGAGTTACAATTGATGCGATTAATTTTGCAAGATTTTCATCCGGATATATATTCCGTCCACTTGTCCACAGAGACGTCAGCTGTGGAAGAGATTTCGATAATATAGATATGTCGATTAATTTTGATAGATCCAAACGTCCTAAATAAATAAATAAATATATATATATATAGAGAGAGAGAGAATGAGAAATAATAACTGATAATTTTAATCTTTGTAAAAATTGAATTTTCACAAGTAATGGATGGTTCATCGGGTGAAGTCATCGGTTACTACAGAGCAATTCAGTCGCTTTCACTTCTATTAGTTTATCTAATTAAATAATCTTTTAGTTTTCATTTATCAGAATATTGATGATACTTCAAAAATAGTGAAATGAAATAAATACACATGTTTACTTGTTTATCTATTTATGTATAAGAAAATATGCCAACATATATTTTCGATATATGCAGAATATTTTATTCAGCCGATAAAACTCTTCAAGAACTAGAAAATCGTTATTTACCGCGTCCAGTGAAATGTAGCAAGTGTAAATGACGTAAACTGACAAGAGGTGAAGCAGCAAACTGTCCATTGGCTAATGCCGAATCAAAGTTCATAATACACTCCCAATTAATAGTTAATTTGACAAGCTGAGGTACGCTTGAGAGAATCAGTTGTAAAAACGAACGTAGTTGCGATTTCAAAAGAAATTTTTCTGTATTTCCGGTGTCAAAGAATGTAAGCGAGCGAAGTGCATTCAATCGAAGTTGATTGAAGCAGGATGAAAAGACAACTTGTTTTGCTGAATCCTAAACAGAAAAGAATAAATAATCATATATTATTCAATTCACATATACGGTAGGGCTGTTAATTAATGCTAGCGTCAGCAACTAATAGTCGTCTTTCCGCAAAGCACTTTGAATAGATCTATCTCGTTGATAGGCATTTCCTTGCCATTGCTACATTTGAATGAAAGTTCAGAAATTCTTTCGATTCACACAACAGAAAAAATAAAGCGAGTTGTTATGGCAAAAGATATCTGTCCTACCAAAAATAAGTTCACTCGTCTTTTCGTTCCGTTTTATTCTATCATATTTACAATCATTCCATTCTTCTTCTCGTATCTATTCTATTGAAGCGAATGTTAGCATTTGAGAAAGGAGGTTATTTCTGATGATTTTCTATAAAGAGAGGACAAAATAAAGAAGAAGATGGTAACACGAGCCGACTTTCTGGAGAATATTTAACACAGTTAAATACAATCGAAGCATTATTAGCTAGTTCAGTGCACTTTTTCTTCAGTAAAATGAACTTAAAGCAACAACAAAAAACATGTCTCTCATCCTCATTTTCTTCATCAGTGTATCATACATTTTGTAAACTGGTTCCCATCCAATCGTCAATTTCCAGCTCCTTTGTTGTTATAAACTGAGTCAAACTATCAAAGATTTGTTGTGAATTGTCACGATAATTGCATGTCCATTTTATCGACGATGTTTGCTTGATATTCATCGCAAAAGAATAATTGTGTACTGTTCGATGGTAATTTAGAGTTGAACGAGTGAATATGATAAGAGAATACTTTTTTTCTGGCGTTTGAAGCTGTGAATGGCAATAAACCTTCCAGGGCAAACTAATTTCATCAAGACAGTAATCAATATTGGTATTTTCGAATGGCCATTCAAAGCTACGATTTTTTTCCCATTGATATACGAGTTCACCAGGAAAGCGCAATAGAAATCGAAGAGATGATGGATGAAGACCAGGCATGTTTTTTTTTAACTTGAAGTATTGTTGGAAATCGTTAAGATAATTAAGTGCTATATTGAAATAAAAAAGACGGTAATTAAGGAAATGTTTTGTCTTTCATCAATATCGAAATCATGGAGATGTTTTCTCGAAGTCTATTTAAACGATATTTGTGGTTGTAACTCTATCTGATCTATTATGCACAAAAGTGCATGTCTCAGATGAAAGTACTAATGGCTCACTGAATAGGACAACAGAATAAAAGAAATTGTTAGAAATCAACAAAAAAAATAGCTAGACAACTAACAGTTCTCCCTATCAAAAACTGAACATTGAATGAATACGGATGTAAATATTATAAAAGCTAGGAACTGAACAAACTCATTCTATAATAACGAGCAATATTTTTTCTATTTGAAATTCATCGAGACAAATAACTTTCAAGTATTCAACTTACTATTATCATAGATTTCAATCATAGTCAAATTTTCGAGTAACGGCATATGTACATATAAAAGAAATCTAAGAAGATTTTCAAGTGACATGTGACAAATTTGAAATGAACGTAAGTAACTTGTAATGTTAATTGCATTTTCCATTGAAGAATAATTTCCAATATAACGGTCGTAGTGTTGTATGAATGTAACACAGAGATGAGTCAGACAAGGTAATACATGAGGATCCAGAAGGACGAACAGATCATTTGATCGCTCTATGAAGAGTGATAGATGAACAGTATTTGACCAATACATTTTTTTCCATTCATAATTCTTATAACTATCATCATCTCTAATACAGCCTTAAAGGAAAAATCAATCAAATATTTTCGTAAATAACTAGTGGTTATTAATTATCAAAAGGTTAACTACTATTTCGAGTCTTTTTTTTATCGTGGTCATATTGTAAGCGTTTTCTTCTCATGAAATTACATGTATGTCGTGCGCGTCAATGACTGAAGATTTTTCAATGACTGTGGCATAAATTTTCAATATTTTCCCATTTGTTACCAATCCCGGATAAACTCCAGGTTTTTCAAAATATAATTTTTTACTAGGTAGAACTTTCTATATTATTTTTTTTTCTATTTCAAACTTTCTTGAAACTAAGAAGATTTTTTGAAAGATCTCAAAAATATTCGAAATGTTGAAAAAACTTTTTATCAAATAGTTAAAATCTCTTTAAGAAACACTGCTATGAAGTATTCCCTCGAATCATCCAGTTAACTCCTGTTACTACTTTGCACGTTGAAGTGATAAAATTGACATTGTTGTGAAACAAATTGCTCAATATACTGACCTTATCAGACAAATGTGCTAGGTTAAGCGCAATATTGCGACAAACCAATTGTTAGATTTATAAATGTCGTGTTCTCTCATATATATATATATATCATGAGTTTTGAGTGTTCTAAGAATATTCTAGATTGTCAAAGTCTTATATCTTTTAATATATGGGTTAGTTTATTTTTCTATTCTTATATTATGATTTTTCTTCAGAACAATTGTAAATATCTCTCAACGTTTGTTTCAGAGATGATCACAGGACATCATCACAGTTGTTCTACGCTCATCTCTGGTTTTTAGTTTTTGATTTCCCTGCTTGACTTTCTATCTTAGTGATCATCTAATATAATGAAGCTATGTGTAAGTATCTTCTATGACCCCATATTTATAAGTAAAGTCTCGAGTAAACAAACAAAATTTAAATCTACGATTAGATTTCAGAAAGAATTAGATAATTTAAAAGTCTATGGTATTTACCGTTTTTAACTTCAAATGCCATACTTGTAAGCGAGAGTTCATGTTTAGTAAATGTATCAAGTATGTCAAAGTAACAGCTCGTTGAAAACCTTTTCGCTGAGAAATGAAAGAAACGTAGCGATTTCGATAATGGAAGAAAAATTCTTGATAGGCTTCTTGTATCTATAGCTTCTTCCGTCACATATAGTCGACGAAGTGACGGAAATAATATCGAAAAAGAGGTATTCATGGAGGGAACTTCGATAGGAGACCGATATTGGTCGCAAAATACATCGCTGGCAAGTGTACCAGTAAGACGAACAGTGTCGATTAATGAAAGAAGATACTTTGACCAATAATCTTTGCCTTCGAGTAATTGACGCATATCAGAAAAACGAATACTATTATTAGCACATTGAGATGTATCGAGAACTAAATGCGAAGTCATGGTAGCAATTAAACAATTGATACGATTATTAAGACCAATGAGTGCTCGATATAGATTTATTGGTGTAAGAAAACTCATAAATAACAACCAAAGTTCATTTGGTAAAGATTCAAGGGATGTTGTCATATCTTCACTATTGTGTTTCGGATAATATTGTTCTGGCATATATTTATTCTGTATGCGTATACAAGTCGACAAATTTTGTTTAAATGTATATGTAGGACATTTATTGAACGATGACGAAATTAAGTGACCGCAGAAGAAATTGATTGTCCGTTTCATATATTCGACTTTTTTTTCTTGCGTTCTTTTTCTTCGTCATAGAATTGACTGACGGATGATAATCAACTTGTTTTTAGATTGAATGACTTTTTCTTTATTTTTTTCTTCACTTCTAGACTGGAACATTGTTCATATAAACGGCAAGATTAGACCAGGGTTGCCACCTCATCAGGTCAGAAAAGCGGAAAGTTTGATCAAAAAGAGCGGAAAATAGCGGAAACAAAAATAGAAAAAACGGAAAAAAACGGAAAGCTGCTTTTTGCTGACCTTTCACATTTCCAAGAGTTTAAGTAACCTTGTTTTATTGCTCATAGTAGTACTTTGTTCGCAGTTCCACAACATAATAGACAACTCATAAAAAATATCAGGGCGTACCTGGCCTGAAACTCCAAGAAGAAAAGATAAACGATTTCCGGTCCAAAAATAAATATCTTTTTTCTGTCAATTCTTTTTCTATTCATCTTTTCTAAAAGTGCCACACAGGGAAAATGTTTGTATCGTCCCAAAAAATGTTCGTTTTGTGATAGTGAAATGACCGTATTGCGACTGTCAGTTCACTTTTTTTCGCAGAGAATATACCACCGAAGGCGGCTCTTCTTTGTCACAGCACTTAAAAAGTTTATGCGAAAAGATGCAATCGAAAAAACTGAAACTCATTTTTCAGAGTAATAGAACAAAAAATATATATTCCTTTCCACATATAGCTGCCGAATGCGACTCCTTTTTGGCACAAATTGAAACATTGACCCGAAAAACGTACAATCCAAAAAATAAAGCTCGCTTTTAACAAGTCTAAGAGGATAATGTTGTTCTTTACATTCAGCTGTCGAATGTGGCTATGCTTTCATCTATTATATTAACAAATGAATAAGAACTTGAAAGAAATTTTCTTTTCTTCACTGGCATTTCAAATCCAGGTGAATGTATTTCATAGTGGAGGCCAAAATGAACACGAAATGTGTTTCACTAGAAAAATTTATTGGAAAATCTATTATGTGAAGCGAAAATTTTTCAAGAACTGTATAGAATTATACGTTACAAAAATTATTTTCCAAGAAATTTTCGTCTAACATCACGTTATCTAGTTTCTTGCATGGTTAAGTTTTCAATTAAACAACGAAAGTCTTTTATATGAAAAAGCGGAAGAGCGGAAAAAAAGCGGAAAAAGAGCAAAAAAGCGGAAGAGGTGGCAACCCTGATGCCGAAGCTATCTTTAAGAGGCCAATGTTTTTTGGCTTTCGTAATAATCCTATTGTGCAGCGCGTACAAATGTCTATAGGATGGTTTCGATTAGAAAAATGGTTCATCTCGATTTTCGCCAAAAATTTTCGTCGCAGTATGAAAAACAATTAAAAGGAAAAAGAGTTCCCTACAGTATTTGCCTTTTGATCATGAAGTGACCGATGTTTTTTCACTTTTCTAATCACCCTATTTTGCACAGCTTAAAAATGTATATCGACTGGTCAATATGGGAACAGTTCTAGGGTGATATATTTCTGTCGAAAATGGGAGACTCTTTTTAAGAGAAACAGCCAAATAGGCAACTTTTGTTAGTGTTCATAGCTTTTTGAAATTCATTTTTTCCGTGAGAAATTTAGTATCAAAATGCTTGTCTCAATGGCAGCTTTCATTTCATATATAATTTGACTATGTTCACTTGAAAAAATTGAAATGGGCCGATAGGGTATCTTATATGCCCCTGTCCTTTGCTCTACAAAACGTGCTATGTCACTATGTACCCAAATTCTGCGTTAACGATATATGACGATGGACATTTTAGCTTTATTTATATAGAAAAAGGTATATTTCGCATTAATCTTG